CTGACACGCCTCAGCGAGCGAAAACGACTGTATCGGCGACTACGCTGAGAAGATGAAGGAATAGCAGGAAATGAACGCGGCTTGTCCGGAATACCTCTTGACTACTCATAGCAGAGTTAGTTAGCATTGTTCACGAATATAGATCGAGCCAACTGTTCGCCGGCAGTCTTTCTATGAGGATTGGTTATGGTAGTGAATTTCTTAATTCTAGGTGAACCTAGGGAACGTACTGACACCGACGCAGGTGAAAAATCCACCAAAGCTCACGTGGGATACTGAACAAGGAGCGTTGTACACCGTTATCATGACTGGTAGTGTTTTTATCAGTAGTGATTATTTAGAACAGTCCCACTTTGTTTTCTTTCAGTAGTACTTGTGCATAAAATAATGCCGTTATTTTATCACAGCCTTGTTCGCGGCTTGTGCTGGGGCATCTCAGGGGGCCGAGTTTAGCGCGGCGTCAGCTCAGTTTCCTCCCGATTCTTGTCACTCGCCTCCTTCAACAATTAGTAGAGGACAGGCTGGTGCCGCACCAAACCGAGCCAGTTGTTACGAATTTGTGCATTTCTTTCATCAAGGGCTCTCTTAAGATCCGGATGCACCATCACGCAAGGAACCGACGTATCGTGAATGGCACCATTGGCTTGTCGTAAATGTCCCTGAAAACGACGTTAACAAAGGAGATGCACTCGCTGAATACATTGGATCTGGGCCACCAAAAGGCACTGGTGAGCAATGAATCTCTTTGATTGAAGTGGTCCGTACTATTATTAGCTGGGACTAATGCGAATTGCAGGCCTCCATCGCTATGTGTTCCTTGTTTACAAACAACCCAGTGGTCGTATCAGTGACTCCGACCACGGCCACTTGACAAATCGATCAGGTGATGGCCGTGGTGGTTTTAAGACAGAGAAATTTGTTGCAAAACACAAGCTTGGCACGCCAATTGCAGGAAATTTCTACCAGGTTCGTTTGACAATGTGGCGACGCTATTCGGCTCGGGAGGGGGGGGGGCAATTTACACGTTTGCTTGTCCCTTTTGTTAGCCCACGTAAACTGGCGAATCTCACTTTGATGGCACCTGCAAAACCGTGTGAAGCTGCGTAATGGGAAAAGTATGCCAGTTCGGTTACAAGAAATTGCATGTCTTCACGAGATGACCCGTACAGGCTTTGCTGACCAGGAAAGGTCAACAGGTCAGCCTGGCCATTTGCAATGAGATGCACATCGTTGTACCCGTCTTGAGACGGTGAACTCAAAACTATCTTCAAAATTTGCGGAACGATTCTCTGAGCGGAGTTATGGAGGTTTTTCTTTACTGTTTTTCTTCTTACGGGCGCGCTGGCGCCGAAGCGTTGGCACATGTAGCGCGACTCACAGCGCTCTTCGCGCAAAACAGGTATATTCGTGTTCAGGGGGTCAAATAACCCCTAGGGACGTCACCTTAGCGAAGTTTGAGGTTCTGACTCAACTGGTCTTCGAACTGAAATAACTCTTCAGCCATGTATTTTTGCAAACAACAGTACCTAACTTACTTATTTGTGCCGTCTGCATCGCTATCGGGAGGAAATCCCATTCCGAGACCAGTTCATCGATAGTAGGTGAACTCCAACCTGCTGCTAATCTGTACACTTCCAAAAAAACTGATCGAAGGTTCCCTTTACAAGGTATGCCAGGGAGCAAAATGTAAAAGTCTTGTCGCCATGCTTCTTGGGACAAATGCAAAAAAGCGACTGCCCCGGAACACTACTGCGAAGTTTCCCAAGAAACCCGCGTCGCGCTGCTTCGTTCGCTCTACTTATCACGCTTTATTCAGAACGCTCCTACATAAATAACCTTTCACGTTCTCGCGATAGCATGTGAAACGACTACGCGGGGATAAAACCCTCCATAACTCCGTTCAGAGAATTGTTCCGCAAATTCTAAAGGTAGATTTGAGTTCACCGTCCCAAGACGCGTACAACGGTGTGCAGCTCATTGGAAATGGCCGGGCTGACCTGTTGACCATTCCTGGTGTATTAACGTCTTGCTCCCACCAAGCCGAACCCTCGATGTTTCTTGAGTGGAACAATTGAGCGATTCATTCGAATTCTAGGCTGAGTGGGACGACTATGTGCCGATTCTCTATAAACAACTCGGTGCCTGAATAGTTTGCTAGAGGGAACGTAGCCATAGTTATAACTGGTTCGATGTTTCCGTTTATTTTGCATGTTCACGTATTTTTTTTCTTACCGGTGTTAATTTCTGTAAGGGTCAATAAATTTTCATCTAAAACATGAAAACTACCAGCTCAAATACTTCTCTGTTAGAATGTCTAAGAATACGCCAGTCAAAGCTGAATACGTGCTGACGACAGACACTTTATTGATGCGGAAATGAACAGGTACAAAGGAGCGATACAGTGCAGGGGTTGGTAACACAGTCGAAGAGCAGAACCTTTTAATCCGAGCGATTCATCGCGTTGTGTGAAATTTCTGCCAACTAGGACCCTCCCCTCAAATTATCTCCTTCGGTGCGATCCCTTCTCATAGCCTTTATACCATCATTCGTGAGTTCCCCAAAAGTTTTCCATTGAGCGGAAGGAAGGAGCATACAGGTAGGCATCGAAATTCGAAAAAAATTTCTCCAGAGGTCGAAGACGACCCATCCCCAGGACCAAGTACGACCCTGTGATGGGACTCGCACAACGAAGATGTATGCTGCGACTGGTAATGAAACTATTACAATTGATAACGACGCAATCAATCGGGACGGTGTCAGGAGGGCCACAAGGGATCTGTCTCCGGCTGCCGCGCTCTACCAATGGTGATCAGTGATCCATTCAGGAAGAAAACAACCAGTGGTGGAAAGGATAGGATCGCTCTATCCCACCTCGAACCGCCCCGAGTGACTGGACGATATCAGCGGTGCCCTTTCCGGGGCTGAGGTTCCGATCTACTGCCAGGAATTGGTTTTGTCGCACCGCCAACGAGGGGAAAGCCAGATACGACCACCGCAGGGTTTTACGAAGCCATTATTCCTGATTGAATAATGGAGTAGGTATAGAGTGCGTAGGTTTTTGCGCTGCGTACCATGTTGGCAATTGCAAAAAGAAAAGCATTTGGGGTCAAGGAGCGGACTTTAGATTTTTGGTGTTGATCGGTCGCCCTTGGCTAATGCCGTTTGGACGCACTCAGTTTTGGCTAAGAGTTCATTTATAAAGTGCCAAGATCACCAGATCTGCTGAAAACTTCGTATACGCCCCACCTCCCGCGCGTACTCGTCCTCGCCATTCAAGCGAATCATGACACCTCCACTCCTCTCCGGCGCCCTGCCACCGCCTACACAAGACACGACACTGACGATCTCCCTCGTGGACTCCAGCCCTTAGCCAGACGCGCATACTAGCCCCGTCGTGCCTCACCTCCATATAGCGCCAGCACTCAAAAAGCGAATACGATATTCAATTAGATGTTAAATTACGGCCATGAGCGGATTTTGGTGATGCTAAGGCACTCTTCATAAATGAGGGCTCCACACCGCTTTGCAGCACCAATGTCTGCGGGTTGGGGATTTAGTCCGAGTCTGTGTGACCCCGCCGCATTACCCCTTCTTTTTTGACGGTCTTGGTACCGCGCCCCTCCCCCTCGGCCTCTGTTTCCTTTTTTCATCCCGAAAACCCGCATCCGAGGGGGGACGGCCGCAGGGGGGAGTGTCTCCACTACTTCACACAGCCCCCTGAAACCAGCGCAAAATCACGAACACGCTCACGCCACCTGGCGCAGCCCCCTGGGCCCCCCTACCCTAACAGTCGACGCAATTCACTGACCCTCGCCCCCCCCCGCTGTTACAGCAGCAAAAACCATCACCTATCTAAAAACCCTGAATTTTTCTCGGCCCAGATACAACCCCTCTCCTGGCGGCCAAATACGACCCCCCCCCCCCTATTGGGGATTCCCCAACAACGATGTGCCCTGATCCTTTGGCATGAGAACACGTCCTCAGCCGAGGAGTCGTATCTGATCGCTGGGGGAAGGGTGTTGTTCCTCACCCCAGTTGGTGGTGCAGCCAAAAACCCATACACCAACTATATTCGATAACTGAATTTGGTAGTTGTTTGGTGGCGACCTTCCCCGCACCCTCCACCCATCCGCAGAATGAGGAATGGGGTCGTACATCGTATTTTGCAGTATTTTTCTCTCGACAGGACGTGGCCTGTCTGGCATGCTTGGTCACCAGTTACTACCACACGTACATATAGTCACATCACAGATACGTAAAGTAAACATTTGACATTTGTACATAAAATATGGAGATTCAATGAATAGCGAATTAGTTTGATAACCTAAGTTGTTGGAGCGATATTAATCTTTGTAGAGTAAATGGGAGATGATTTCCCGATTGATTGCTTGCTCGTTCTTTCCTTGTCTGGTGAGGAACATGGTGCCAGCGAGATGCTTTGCGAGCCGATCACGCTGCCGTTTCTTTGCAAAGCGATCGCAAACTGAAATCAAACATTTTTTGTCGCACTTCTTACCGTATACCCTGGTTCCTAGCGAATGAAGGGGCGTGTCAGGCAGCATGAGTGTGTCACGCGCCGAACCCGTCCTCTACCAGCTGTTGACGGGTATGCCACAACAGCTGGTAGAAAACGAGTGATACGAACGATATGATACAGTCTTGTCACTTGCTCGCTTCAACAGCTGTGGAGAACGGGTTTGGCACCGCGCCAAACTCATCCCGCCTGACACGCCCCTTCGTCCGCAGTAAACGCGACTATATGCTGCAGTCTTTGCCGTAGAGCTTAAAGGCAGTTGGCACGATGATTTGGTGCTCGGCCTAAAATGCTAGTAGGGCGCTATATAGTGGGGAAATGGCGAAAGAACGGAGTGAAACGGTCAAAATCCTGCGAAGAAAAAGCCTCCGTTCTCAGTGACTTGAAAATCGATTTCGGACGAGTTTTCC